TAACAATTCACAGTGATATTACAGAAGAATATATGAAGGTCAACCTGATAAAGCAAAGCATCTTGGAGATGTATTTCAGAACAAAAAGAACGTTTGTTAACTCTCCGAGCGCTTGGTTAAAATCTTATAATGCAAATCGTATAATGGCGACATGTATATCAAAGTCATATAGGGAAGTTTATGGCTAACTAAGCCACAAACGTATCTATCATTGGCGCCCACAAGGGGTGGGTTGTGCGGGTTGGTTTAAATTGTTATATACTCTTTTTTGTGTGAAGTACGCAAGTGTGAACCATATGAATCCATTGTTCGTTTCTTTCTCTTTATGCACTCCTCGGCGTATTTGCATTGTGACTAAGTTTGCACAACAAACATTTTAAAATGTTGCTTAAAGCGGTTATGCAACATTTAAAAGAAATATCCATAATAAAGCATATTTTTTTAACAAAAGGATTTAGGTTATCAAATTTATTAAAGAAATGAAATAAAGAAATTATTAAATAATGAAATACAAACATCAACCCTTGAAAGTTATTCTTGGTTTTTTGTTAGGCACTTTATGAACATTTACAAGCAACATAACATAACGGCAAAATAAGAAATCGTTAACATTTAAAATTTATGCCAGTTCCTATTTAAGTCTCAATCAATAATAATATGCCACCAAAAAAGTTTTTTTCTTTAAATCCTCATTAGAGATATTTTTTTTTCTCTGATACACATTCAAAATTAGGGTTCACTGAATCCATCGCAGTCCATTTTTTCGAAAATCTACGAAAATGCTACCGCTGAATCCAATATCCAAATAGCTACCAACGTGGCATATACTTTGAATGCACGCATTTGTAGCAATTCGGACTATGATGGATTCAACGATAGACCATAATATCTTATGGTGATTTCGTTTCTACCAAAAAATGAACCCTTACCCGGTGATAAATGCGTTTGATGTTACACTCAACCCTGTAAAAGGGCATATTTTTGCCTTCTTGTCCTTATCTAGCTCATGCATTTCATAATATTGTCGCTTTAAACAACCATCTGATTTTTAGGGCAACCATCTCCCCTGACAAAGTTTCAAAGGGCAGAGAATGTACCTTTTTTGCCTTTCCCACTCTTGACATTTTAAGAAACGAACACAAAACTTTCTCACGCTTTGCCTTTATATTAGAATCGAACACGAAAAGAGAAAGGGGTAATAAAAAGGCGACATTTTTTATTACCAGATTTAAAACAAATATTTTTAATTTACAGATGGCGAATACATGTTTGCGGATCCAGAGAGCAAACTCTCCAAATACGGCCCGAAAAGTTGGAGATCCTCGCACACGCACGTAAGTCATCTAAACTACATTTTGACGGCCCACAGTGGTCGGAGAAGCTATGTTTTAGGCGAAAAATTAGAAGGGCTGTTACGATTGTAATAAAAATGCAGGATCGTAGTATTTTTGTTATGCTAAATCCGAATATGCCATACAACTTTTGGTTTGACAGTTGAAAAATTCTGTAAAAATAAAAAAATAAATCTTTTTGCTAGTCACGAATTTGATGTCAAATCAAAACTTTGGCAGTTGACAGCTGTCAAAATGGACTGTGAATTTTTCTAAAAGTGAGACAGTATTTTCAAAAATGCCCCGATAAGGTTTTTAGACATGCTTATCACGAATTTCGTGTCAAATGAAAACTTTGAGAGTTGACAGCTGTCAAAATGGACTGTTAATTTTTCTAAAAATAAGAAAATATTGTTTAAAACGCTACTGATAAAGGGTTTGACACGCTAGTCACGAATCTTACGGCAAATTAAAACTTTGAAACTTGACAGCTGTCGAATGGGCTGCCAATTTCTCTAGAAATCAGGAAAGTTTCCCAAGAATTAAGCGTACTAGGTTTTAAGGCTCACTGATTGCGAGTTCTATATCACGTTCAAAATTATTCAATTAACAACTCTCTACTGAGCTGTAACTTTCAGTAGAGTAACACAATATATTTGTTTAGCCAAATTTATGATTTAGTGTATTCGAAGGAGCATATTTAAAATGAATTTATGATAAAATTATGAAATAATAACAGTAATTATATTTATAAATAGGGGATAGTTGCTATATGTTGAGCCCAAACAATTTGACACAGGCCCCCTAGTTTTTTTAAGATTTTTTTATTTTATACGAAACTCGTAATTTTCCAACTTAAGTTTTCTCAGTTTTAAATAAAGTTATTCAGGTTTGAAAATTCAAAAACTTATTTAAATCTCGGACGCCATATTGGATTTTGCATTTTGAGTTTTCAAAAACTAGTTTGAAATTAACTAGAACGATCCACGATCGATTCGTTGAATTAAGCGGATTCAACGGCTTGCTCAGCAGACATTATTGAAAATATTAATCAGTGTTGAGTTAGTTGAACATGTCTGAATAAGAATAGTTTTATTCCGGTTAATTTATCACAGTTTTCAAACATGCTTTTGTCGCATAAAACATGGCCTCTCTGACAATTGTGCGGCCCGAGCAACTATATATCAAGAGGTCCTTAGCCGTCAATCTATCCGGTCTTGAACACCGTGCGAAAGACAGACTAGCTTAATATTGTACGATACAATAAATAGACTCTTCTTTGTTAGGTTTGCCTTACGGCTATGAGGTTAAATACAAAGTTAAGGTAATTCAACGAGTTAAGTTATTCTTTCGCACGGCGTTGAAGATAATATAGACTGACGACAATCGACCAGCCAGCGATTTTCACATTCCTCTGCCAATATTAATATTCTCACTTTTTAGGGACTCGATGCCAATGGGCGACCACTTCTGGAGCTACATTTCCGTGTGCAATTTTATATCGAGAGCCCATTTCTGTTGAAAGATGAGATATCCCGTCACAATTACTACCTACAATTAAAATATAATGCTCTACAACGGGAAATGCCTAAAGAATATTCCGAACAGTCGATGATATTGCTCGCCGGATTAGCGCTACAAGCAGATTTGGGTGAGGCACCATCAGCTGGACTAACAACCAATGCAACCACGATAACAAAAACAACAACTTCAAAGGGCACAACATTTAAATCGCTTGTAACAGAAGAGGGCAGCTGTGGTGGTAATGTGGAGTGTGACCATCAAGGCTTGCTCACTTCGCATATCACAGACCCTACGGCCAACACAAATGAAGTCACAAATGCAGCGGCAAGAAGTACAGAGACTACTACAACGCCTACAACTAACACGGAAGGGACAACTTTTGGAATAGCAACAGCAACAACAACATTGCCAAAGATCAACAAACGCCTAAGTAGTGAAAATGATCGAGTGCTACGTCTGTCCAATTTTTTAACGGCAAGAAATTCTACAGCCTCAATATCAAATATATCTGCACCAGTTTCTTGCACAAAAATTAAAATAAAATCGGAGAAGGAAAGGGAAAAAGAGGAAGCGGCGGTAATATCAACGCCTGCCTCCACGAGCTCTTCGTCCATATCAGTTTTTCCCGTTAGTGGTAGTCTGAAGCGTAGCCTGGGCGCAATGGCAGCCTCATTTTCAACTTCCTCGTCGATTTCTTCAATTAATCGCAGTAGTTCATCGAATACCCCACCAACAACGTCGTCGAGCACGTCACTATCAGCACTGGGTCAGGCACAGTCTACACTGCAAGAGTATTTCAGCTTGAGAGACTATTTGCCTGGCGAGCTGTGCACCGCATGGGCGCTGAGTGCACTGCTGGCTTGTCATCGTGAAAATCGTGGCATGTCAGCGGCGGACGCAGAGTTGCACTACATTCAGCATTCCAGTATGGTGCATGAGTGCGTCAATGCGCATATTTTTCGAATGCGTACATCAAAAAGTGAAAACGGATTGGGCAGCTCGTGGTTTGTGGTTTATTCAAAGGGTATAAAAATTTTCAACTCCGTTGAAAACATACAACAGCCAACCACCTTCCTATGGCCGAACATAACGAAGCTTTCATTTGAGCGGAAAAAGTTCGAGATACGCTCTGGCGACTGTAAGATCCTTCTCTATGCCACCTCGGATGAAAAAAACAAAATGTTGTTGACGCTGTGCCGCGAAACCCATCAGTTTAGCATGAAGATAGCCGCCCGTCTGAAAGAGGTCATTAAGCGCGAAGAAGAAGAGAGCAATTGTCTTCATGCTTGCTATATTTATTCACGCAGTTTGCACTTGCCTTACAAAAACAAAAGCGACCAGCGTATATCGGTCATTTCGAGCACTAGTTCTAACACCACTTCGGGCATTGTCAGCGATCGCGTTCACTCTGAGGATGAGGTTGAGATAATGATAAATACACCACCTGCACCGATTGCAGCACCATCTACGGAAAGTTTGGCATTGGCACATCTACTAGATCGTCCAAGCGTCAGCAGACAAACTTCATCAGTCGGCCAAGTTTCATTGAAAGACCTGGAAGAGCAGTTAGCGGCGCTGTCTGTACGTCAGGAACGTCAAAAGCAGCACTCGAATTCTGCTAACTCTGGCGATGAATCGCCCGCAGAAAGAAGTCACGCCTCAGCGGGAAACTCATCCAGCAGCAGCTCGAATCAAGCATCCCAGCGCGCAGCCGATTCTTCAACTGCTACTGACTCACCAAGTTCGCAGCACAACATTGGGTCACAGTGTTCTTCGACCTGTAGTACCGTTGTGGTTTTGCCTAGCACAGATTCAATAACAAATACGCTAACATCGTTAGCTGTCCATTCTGCGATGAATTCTACGCCAATACAGCGACGTAACTCTACGTCGAGTAGTCTGGAATTGGGTTTTAGTCACACAGCACAAAATTCCATACTCAGTGAGGCAGAATCCACTTGCATTGACCACGATTTCACATCTTCTACGCGGGACGAAAACGAGAGCGCTTCTGGCGTTTACACGCTAGCCCACGGCGCACCGCCCACTGAGACCTCTGGTGTATACACGATGCATAGCAGCGAAATGACAGCGCAATCGTCAGAGATTGCCGAGTCTGAAAAAAGTTCCCATTATGGCATTTTCCAGCCGACGAAAGGTGAAATAGGCGCCGATAATTTGCATGAAAGCCCCTCAAATCTGGATTCAGTCGATGGTGGAAATTACCTCGGGAAACGCATCAAGAACGAAGAATTCCGCCTGCGGTCAGACTCCAACGTAAGCACAAGTGGTTCGTTCCGCGGTGATGGTAGTGATCCAACCGACAACAAACATAACCTACTTTCCGCAGAGGAATTAACCGATTTAATCGTTGGGCGTGGTACATATCCCAATCGGAAGACAGTGTCTGGTACCCTAGACTCAGACTGCGATTACGTCACTTTGCCATTGCCCATTACAGGTGAATCCTACATTCAAGGCCATCAAGATACTGCACCCACTGAAGACCAGGTCGAAGACCTAATTAATGATTTAATACCGACGGATCCACCAGCGCCTCCTCAACGTATCGACAGTAACAGCCTGAAGCAGCCAACAAATCTTACGAGTCTAAGCATTATACCGATGCGTTCACCACCGCCATATCATGCACGCCATGAAAAAACCGGTCTATGTGGGCCACCAGTGTGCCCACCGCTGGCATTAAAGCCAATTCAAGACAATACAAAAGCGAAAATTACGCCAAACTTCTCCAAAGTGCCATCGCCTACCATTCCAGTTGAGTTTAATAAGACAGCAGTCGGTAGCACACCAACTCCACGGGCATCGCTTAAAACAGCATCCGCTGTGCGCCGACGTGACCCACCGCCATATCCCACAACAGCGAAACCCCGACCCACGTCTTTAGTGTCGTTAGCCTCATGCACATCTTCTCTAAATCATTCCAGCAATGCGGTTACCTCAACCAGCGGCTCATTGAGCTCGCTAAAAGCCGAAGAGGTCACAGCTCGTTTCATAACTACGCGGCCACAAATCAACATTCTCAAAGCCCATACCAGTGTTATTAACGATAACCAGAAACCCAGTTATGCTGCACCGACGCATTGCTCATCGGTGGTATCAGCGACCGGATCTATTTCCAGCCGTCACATACCAAGCCATTTTTCCCAGCATTCTGTGCACAATTCTCATTACATCAGCGGCTCACAGGTCTCGCTAAGCGGTGAACATCATCCGACATCAGCCACAAGGCAATCATCCATTTCGGCGGCTGCCATGGCGCATGCTGCGGCCGCAGCCGCTGTAGGCGCAGGCGTCATTTCGAACACCATTGGCATACCAATCGTTCCTTATGGACTGCACGGTACACATAACAGCATGTCATCGTTGCACCAACAGCCGCCCCCGCCACCGCCCCCGTATACGGAAATAAAGCAGTCGCCAAGAACGTGTGTACTTTTACCAGTGATCAAACATCGACAATTTCTGCCACCGCCACCACCCAGTCTGCCCCGCCAGCCTCCACCACCACCACCGCCCACTCAGCTATCCGGTGTCTATGGAAATCAACTGGCACGCAAGCAGCTAGAGCTCTACCAGCAGCAACTCTATAGTGACGTTGACTATGTCATCTACCCGCTACAAGACCCTGCAATCAGCCAGCAGGAATATTTGGATGCAAAGCAGAGCTCAATATATGCAGCAATGGCACAACAACCGCCACAGCCGCTCTCGCACACTCATCCACATCCGCATCCGCACTCGCACCAATACTTGGCATATCACGCAGGGAGTGCACACGTCGGCTCGTGGGACACATGTAAAGGCCACGCAATCTATCGCAGCACACCCTACTTGCCATTGGCGCTGTCCACGCATTCACGCTATGCATCGACGCAGAATCTGTCAGACACTTACGTTCAGCTACCGAGCACCTACTCACCGCTCTACAGTCCTTCCATGGCCAGCTTATGCTCCTCGTATGAACCACCACCGCCGCCTCCCCTGCACCCAGCCACCTTAGCAGCGTCCAACGTAAGCAACACAAACGTATTTGCACGCTCACGATCAGATGACAATATTTTAAATTCACTTGACTCACTACCGAAGGCGAAGCGTATGCCTCCTCCACCACCGCCGCCATACGTAAACCGGCGTTTAAAGAAACCACCCATGCCAGCACCATCCGAAAAGCCGCCGCCAAGTAAGTACTGCGCAACACTCTCTTGTCAACACGCTTTACAACACTAGTCACTTGTACTTTTTTTTAGTTCCCTCAAAACCGCCCGCTTGCAATGTTGCGCCCACGAAAAACCAAGTACCGATGCGCAGTCAGTTGCCGCCGCGCAAGCCACCCACACTAAACACTAATCGAAGTGTCAATAATATGACGCGCACGTCCAGCGGTGCGCAGTGGGCTGGTGAACGTCCAAAACCTGATCTGATATCATATAATGGCGGCAGCAGCATTTTGGCGCATCTTCAAGCCAGTGTAGCAGCAGCTAATCGACACACTGCTCACTTAGCAGCAGCTAGCAAGTCAAAGGACGCCACTGGTGGTAGCAACAATACCAGCCATGGCACCAACGGTAATCCAAGCACTAACAATGCAGCCACAAATCCACTGGACATCGCTGTACTACGGGAGAAGAGCAAACATTTAGATTTACCGCTAATCTCCGCCCTGTGCAACGATCACTCGCTACTTAAGCAGACAAAAGTTTTCGCCAATGTGAAAACGGGACGCCCGTCAACAAGCTCCACTTCAACCACGCGAAATGTCAGCGCTACGCCGGCCTCTCCCAGCGGCATGCGTGCGTCACCAAACAATGCTGCTAATCAGCAAAATTCGACTGCAAATACCGCCGGGGCAGATAACGAAGTATCAGTCTCGTCAGCGGCGACAACTACGCCTGCCTCTACGGCCGCAGTTTCCACACCAGCAACAACTACGACAGCAGTAGCAACAGCATCGACTACTGCGGTCGTCACCACTACCAACACTACTTCCAACACCAGCACGAAATCCACAACTTCAAGTACAATAGCGACACCAATCCAATTGGCTGCTGGTAAAGGACGCAAAGCAGGTGGAAGTCATCGCCATCCCAATGACAAATTGCCGCCGCTGCCAATGCAAATGGCTGAGGCAAACAATTATGTCATGGATCCAGCAATGGTGAAACACCACAAAAGCTACAATTCTCAAATTTAATTTAAATTTGGAAACTGAAACATTCGGCCGAAAATAAAGAAGCTGAAGGTGACAAGAGCGCAGAGAGTGGCAGCGATTTAATAAAAAAGAAAAATGTCATATAATAATTTGCATACGAAAGCTACGAACGGCACTAGGCGCAATTAAATGCAATCTCTCGTATATGCCACCACCACACATAGGCAGAATGCTTTCACCTTGAAGCTGTAACGAAAGAGGTGGTATGTGCACACATCCCTTGGAGTATGAGATCATTTTCGATTCGATTTTGTTCAAGTGTTTACTTTCTATTCCTAAATGAAAATCACGCCGAACGACGACGACTGCAAGCATATGAAAGTAGGGCGGAAATGTTTCGACTTATGACATACTATAAGTATATTTTTGTATGTATGTCCCGTTAGTCTGGTTTCCGACAAGTGACTGCGATCCTTCACAGTGTTTAGGTGGAAGCTTCGAAGAATGCCATTTTCAGCGAACGAAAGCAAAAAAAAGCAAAATACAATTCAATTGTTAACAAACGTGAAAATGAGCGAGCGAGTGTTTTTGTAGCGATGCGTATTACACAAAAATAAAAAAATACATATATACATACATAAAAAAATACATATATACGTACATCGATTTTCAAAAATTAAACAAAAACCCCAGAGACAAGACGAACATGCGGCCCTTCGCGGGCATATGAACGAGGCACCAAACTATCACTGGTGCTGGGCATCGCACTGGTCCTCTGTGGCCTTCAAATATTAGCTTTTTTAGGAGCTACTCACTTAAAATACGCTAGGAACGAGTGATAAGAGAACTATTTGACTAAATTGAGGCCGCGACAATGTCATTCAAGGCGGCGCTACCACCACTCTGTAGGGTCTAGGCTCGACCCAGCAGCGGTCGCCCCTGGGCAGGCGAGTGTATTTTTGCCATGTAAAAGCTTCTCATAAAAGCCATTTGCCATTCGGGGGCGGCGTAAAACAGTAGATGCCTCAAGGCTAACACCACAAATTGGGGGAGAAGCTCGGTCAAACACTCAGCTGAAGTGTAAGCGCCAAATTTTTTTGTTATTATTATGGCATACATACAAACAACGATTATATGTATGTACGTGTCGTGATGATAGACCGCTTATTAACATGACATTGACCTCTGAAGTATTACTTATATCTGCCTACATACAAACATACATACATATGTACATATAGTACATACACAAGCTACATACGCAACATTCCCAAGGAATCTGATACGAATTGAGCAATTTCTTTGTTCATAACTGACCTCATTTCATGTAAATTATTTAATGAAAAGCGAAAACATCTTAATCTAGTCACTTTTAGAAATTCATAAAACAATCAAATAAGCAAACAAAAGACGGTAGACAACTCAAATACTCAAGCAAATTTTAAATACATATATATTTTTATTGTATTTCAAATATGTATTTATGTAATTCAAACTGACAATGCAAGTAGTAGGTACGAGTACGAATTGAATTCCGCATTGAATTAAATGTGAATTATTTTTAAATATTTATTGTTGTTGTAGGCCATAACAAACTTGTGTCATACACAAGTTGTTATTTGTATTTATTTTTTTTTCTAATTTTAAACTTTCCACTTTCTTCATAAGCGTGCCACTACAAAGAAGGTGTATATTTATTATACCACAAGCGAAAAACTAATACACTCACTTATCATAAACGAAATCCGCCCAAACAACTGTGATCGATTTAATTTTTTTTTTTTTGTTTTTTAATCTTAACACTTTGAAACTTTGAGTTAAACAAATGAGCAGAGATTCCTTGTTTTCTGTTTTATTTTATTTTATTTTATTTTTTTTACAATATTTTCCTTTGAAGGAATAACAACTACGCCATTACTTAGCATATGTAGCAGTTAAGTTCATAAGTGCGTGAAGTTTAGGCTTAAGCAAAGTGCGGAAACACAAAACGAACAAATTCAATCCAAATTATCGAATAATCGAACGTTTAGCGTTCAATGAGAATGGACATTTGCAGTAATGCAATGAAACCTCTTTTAGTTACTCAGCGCTTAGGGTGTAAGTGTGCGTATACGCCAAGTAGATATTGTGTATTTTTTAACATTTCTAAGAATATACGTTTGAGATTTTTAAAACATGCAAAATGCATTTAAGTGACAGATTGCCTAGACTTGCCCACCGTACTTTACGTAGTAGGTACATACTTAGGAGTATGTATGAGTAAATAAATACATGTGTATTTAAAATGCCACAAATGTTTGTAAAATCAAACACAATCATTTCGAGGTTTAAGTAAACATAAAAAATTATGAAAGCATGCATGAAGATATTTGGCAAACGTGTTCTATACAAACACTATTACATGCAAACACACACATAGCCATCGTCGATGGCATACATACACACATATATTACTAAACACATAGCTGCGTTCGTATGGAATAGTAAGTAGCTTATCTCTAAAGGCTGGCTTTATTATAATGCAGCATTCGCTGCATACGATTGCGAATGACTCACGGGCGCCGAACCGTTGAAGAACTTTTGCAACGTGCAAGAAATAGTTCCGTTACTAGCAAGTCAATATTCTTACTAAGCCGCATCAAAAAATTCATTGTCGTTTAAAGAATAAAAGTAACGCCGCATTATACTAAAGCCACCTTCCCGACATAACTAGCTACTATTCCATACGAACACAGATATCATTTTAATTACATACATATTATTATTTTTTTGCGGTAAAATATGTGCGAAAATTTATTTTTTGTATTTTTTTCACAAAAATTTACGTAGGCTTTTCACGTGGAAAAGTCTATTGTTAAATGCGCTTACGTGATTGAAAAACAAAAGTGAAATGTTTGCCATATTTATCGCCTTAGACAACATATCCATATAAAACACAAATACAAAATAACCTAATCTATTCTACACAGCAAAAAATTAAATCTGCAATTCGGAAGAAAACAAATATATTTTTTGTTTGCTGGTGAAACACATTTATTCAGCGTTATATATATTTATAAAGAATGTTAAATCACCATTTTTTCCATTGATTAGAGTTATAATTAGAGTAAAAACGTTCCGCCTACCCGACGGATATGTATGTGCTGTATACATACTTAGACACAAATTTGTGCACAAATGTTCTTTTCTCAAATTATGTAAGCTCCTTAAAAGTTTTGGATTTTTTGTTTGTCTTCAATTTAGTTTGATTTTATTAAAGCTTATTATTTGGCATATAAATGAAACAAATTTCGGTAAACAGAAAATTTAATATTTATGTATGTATGTAAGTACATATGTATATCTGTAGTACATGTAAAATTGTTTGTTTTTGTACTACGTTATTTTAAGAAAGTTTCAATATAGCATACGGCAATACAACTACAAGCATACATATTACGGTATACGAAAGTCTAAAACACATGTAGTAATTATCTTATAAAAGGCATACTAAATTAGTTATTAAAAACATTCCCACTGTTTAGCGTATAAAGTTATTAAATACGAATTTTAAATAAAATTTGAACATAATATTAAAAAAAAAATTGTTTCTTATTTCATTAAATGCACACCGCTTCACTTGAATAGGTTCGTTGCTTTTCTTCAATAGCCGACCTTATATGTACATATCTACATACATATATTTTTAGGTATCGAGAAGCTCAATGGCGGCTACAGAGCGGAAGCCATCGCCTCCCCTAGGGCTGGAAAAAGTAAAATATCGGTCAAAATAAATTGCTGAAAACGAGAAATTTTAAACCAAGCTTTGCTTAAATGTTGTTCGAGACTAGGGATGTTAATTTTTTCGCTTTTTACGATCCCGGTATTTTCGGGATGTGTCGGGATTAGTCCCGGGATTTAGACATTCATTACTTTTCAACAACATAAATCGATAAAATTGCGTCTATATTATTTGAGAAGCTCTCCTACCATAAAATAAATAATAAATAAATGGGTTTGAAACCTACCTTTTTATTTAAAGAGGCGTTTTTATTTTTTCTCTCTGACGTCAGGATTTATTTTAAAGGACTTTATAATTTAAAAGATATGATAAATTCCAAAAATTATTTAAAAAATTCAATGCAATGTAGAATAAAATATGGGTACCAAATGCAAGAGGAAATTTCTTTAGAATTAAAAAAAAAATTAAATTTATTGAATTCACACGGACGAATAGGCAATTTATTAAGCTGATGAAAGATGAAATTCGAGGATGTTATCGAGTTTATATTGCCATTAACATATAATTTTTTCAAAAACAAGTTTTGCGAAATTTCAAGGATAAAATTTAAAAGGACATTTTCAATACTTACCATTCCTTCCTTATGCACCAAAATATTGAATCTGTTTAAATTCTACAGGATTTCCTCTTTAATTTGATACCCACAGTTCTTCTCTAAACACATTTCACTGAATTTTTTTAAATCATTTTTGAATTACTAACGTCATAGTGAAAAACTAAAAACACAATTTTTGGCCCATGGTTTCGCGAATATATTGATTTTTGTGTATAAAATTTACTATCGCACGGTGTTATATGTATAATGGACAAGACATTTATAAAAAAATATTAATTATTAAATAAAAAAAGAAATATAGCAAATACTTGTCAAGAAAAGGAGTTTCTATTACTGCCATCAGAGCAAATTACACATCCCGAAAATCCCGGGATTATTTGCCAAGAATCCCGGGATTTTCGGGACTTATAAAAGGCCGGGATCCCGGGATTCTTAACATTCCTATACGCGACTAATTCCGAATTGTGAATAATTTCATTTGCTAAAATTTTCATTCTTTTTAAACTTTAATTAAATAAATAACCTAAAAATATAAGAAAAATAATGCCAGAAAGTGTGCTTAACACCCAAACGTTCTCGCGGAAGCTGAGTAGAGAGTATTATTGTCCACTTTCATAGTCCTTCAAAGAATCTTCCGTGGGCCCTAAAATTTGAGGACTTACATACATATGAGCCGTTCAGTGCACACAACGACTAACTCCACTTTTTGGAAAATCCTAAATTTAAGTGTCAAAGCACTTGGTGTAGTCATAACTTATTACGTTCTAGTAACTTTATATAACATACAATAGTACATAACATTTATAACAACATTATTTATTTAATTTTATAATATAATTGGAATTTTAAAAAATAATGTACATTATTTGATCGCATCTCCCACTTTTTGCTATTGGATTTAATCGATGTGTGCACTGAACGGCTCCTATATGTATGTACTTCAGTAAATCTTGGTACTCAGCTCCGACGAAGGCATTTGATTGTCGAGCACATCTTTCTGCATTTGTTTGCTTATATTTTTAAGTCATTTCTATAAATGAAAAAAGTAAAAAAAACTATCCATCCATCGAGTTTTTCAACAGATATTTGACAAATTTTCGATCAAACTTAGCGGGTTTTATTAATTACGAGCACGGACTCTCTTTATAACTCTTCAGTTCTCTGCTTGAAATCCTTTTTAAAGGATCTCAAATTTCGACTTTAAATAGTCAAAGAAAGCAGACACAGCGAACAAAAGTTTAAAGGCAAGAATCCAAAATATATCCCTTTTTGCCCGAAAAGGCCCAACAAGTTAACAAAATTACTTGAATCATTTGGTAAAAATAAATATCGCAATAGGGCTCATTCGAGTTGGTTCAAAAGAATAAAATATCAAAAGCAAATCATGAAAAAGGCCGCTAGCTTAGAGTGAAAAGTTGCTAAGTCCCATTTTAAAAATTTTACAGGAGAGGGAAAAAAATTCGTATAGCCATTTTCTTCAAGCATTTCGCAAAACTTTAAACACAACATTTTGCCTATTCAAAGAAAAGCAAAACTCCCACCGAATCAGGGATCCTATCTTTATTAAAAAATTTCGTACTAGTTTGGCCTTATCGGATTTTCTGTACTTATTTTGGACTTAGCACATTTTCCTTTCATTGAATATAAACGAGAATAAATAAACCAAGTTCCTTTATCCTTTTCGAAACAATGCATTCTAAATTTCTCTATATATCAAAATATGAGTTTTCATAAAAAGTGGACTTAGCAACTTTTTACTCTAAGCCAGCGAAGTGTTAAAATCAGAGATCGAAAATAACCCTCAACCCTTGTTTTGTATGGTGTTTACCACTGACCCAAGCACTCATCTCTCAAGCAAAAAATGTTTATCACCGTGACAAATCACTCTGTGCGATCTTTTTGTGTTTTCTGTTTTGGGTTATTTATTAACTGCTTAGATTTACCTTAGGCAAAGACACTTTGGCAGGGACTTTTATTTTTAAGTGTCGTAATTTGTGGCTTATTGAAAGACTGAAAAATATAAGTGGACGTACATATGTAAGTGGAAGTGAAGCGTTAAGCCTTTCTTTACGCGACATATACAGTATTGGCCAATACAATAGCACCCCCGCACATAGGGGTATTTAGTCGATTTATGCGGCCAAAATTATTTTTATGAATATTTCAACTCGAAATGTTTAGAAAAAAACGTTTTATGACATACAGAATTGTAAATGTTGAAAATCAAGTATATACAGGTTAAAACATTAACAGAGTTGCCACCTGTTAAAAAATTTAGTTCAATTAGTTAAATGAGTTGCTACAATATGGGTATCAATGGAAATGGGTTTGAAAAGACTTTATCTCTAAGGAACCTTCCAAGATTTAAACATTCAAATTCAACTTGAATTAAAGGAATTAAATAATTCAAATATGTATCACAGTATAGGTAAGAAATGGGTGTATTCGAGGTGCAATTAATGCGGCAGTGTTACTCTTTTATGAAAGAGTATCACGATCTACGCGAAAATTTGGGCGAACAAAATTTTGACAATCAGTTACTCATCATTGGCAAATAAAAAGCAACATAAAAATTTTTACTGCGCAATTTCTGCAACATGTCATCAGAAAAGCAACAAGTCTACAATATTGCGGTAATTATTACGTAGCTCGAACGCACCCAATGTAATAAAACTACATTTTTGTGATAATAACAGTCTTATTTATTGTTAAGAGAATTTTGTAAGTATTAACTTGGAGTAAATTAGCGTCCTTAATTACTGAAAAATCGGAGTTTTCGTATTTTCAACGCATTGCATTTCCATACCAAGTGCACCGAGTTCGGTACAAATTGATAAATCAGTTACCGAGATATACATTTGTGGTCAAAAGTGCGCGGCGCCACGCCCATTATCCAAAAAATTATAATAATTTTAATTGATGCTAGGAGGTTATTCAAAGAATCGATTTAGAGTGAATTAGCTTCAGTAGTTATTGATTTATCGCAGTTTTCGCGTTTCTGTAAATTACCGTTTACGGGAAGTGGGTGTGGTTATCGCCCGATTTCAAGAATTTTTTAGCGGTTATGTTAGATATAGCCCAAGCAAGCCTCATACTGAGTTTGGTACGGATGAGTGAAGCGGATACTGAGATACAGCATTTCATCATAAGTGGGCGGGGCCACACCCATTTTCTAAAACTTTAATAATAATCCTATTTTGTTCCAAAATGTTACTTTACATACTAATTTTTAACAATTTGGATACA